GGTTCAGATCGGGACCTTTCCGTGAGACACCGACATATGTGCTGGGAGCGTGCTCCCAGCACATATGTATTTTCAAATGGTGCACAAACATACGGCTGCTTGGCATCAAGTCCCAGCCACCAAGAGACCGTATATTTGCGTACGGTCAGCGTCAAGGGTTAAAAAGACACCAAACTTATGATTCTGGTAGAAAGCATTGGAAAGTTACTTGCAAATGAAATAAAGTTTGTTTTATTTATCTTTTTTTGTGCTTTTTAAAAGAGAAATGTGTAAATATATGTTAAATGTGTAAAAATATGAAAAATAAAAAACAAAAATGTTTAAATATTTACCAATTCAGCTCCGAAAGGTTTTACCCCCATCATGACCAGGTCATTTTCTGCTATTCAGCACTGCGCTAGGTCAACTGGTAATTGCGTGGTCATGCAACGCTGTAACCAAACATAATTTGTATCCTTTTTTTTCATGCAAACAGAGCTTTCTTTTGGTCATATTTGATTGCCACTGGGTTTTTTATTTTTTGCAATATAAATGAAAAAAAGCCAAAAAGTTTGCAAAAAAATTATATTTTCTACTTTCTGTTATAAAAAATATCCAATAAACTCAAATTTAGTACTACATTTAGGCCAGCATGTATTCTGCTACATGTATTTGGTAAACAAAATTCCAATATATGTATATTCATTTGTTTATGTGAAAGTTATAGCGTCTACAAACTATGGTATATATATTGAAATTTACGCAGCTTTTACTTTCTGACTGCCTATTACATTTCTTGAGGTGATAAAATGTCAGGGTAATATGAAAACCCACCAAATTACCCATTTTTGGAAATAGAAACTCCAAAGAATTTTTTCATAGGCATGTTGAGTCCATGGAAGATTTTATTTTTTGGCAACAATTTTGGGAAATAGACAAAAAAGTTTATTTACACAAAGTTGTCAATTAAATGATAAATTGCTCACACATGCCATGGGTATATGTGGAATAACACCCCAAAACACATTCTGCTACTTTTCACGAGTTGGGGATACCACATATGAGAGACTTTTTGGCAGCCTAGCCACATACAGGCCCCCAAAATCCAATGACCACCTTTAGGCTTTCAAAGGGCATATTTCCTCATGTCACTTCCTCACTACATATCACAGTTTTGAAGGCCCTAAAATGCCATGTTAGTACAAACACATCACCCATTATTCTAGTCACTTGAAGACCAAGCGCAAAAAAACTTTTTTGTTTGCTAGAAAATTATGTTGAAACCCCAAACAGTATATATGTTTTAAAGCAATGCCCTAGAGAATAAAATGGTGAGGGTTGCAGTTTTTTATGTCACACAGTATTTGTGCAGCAAATGTTTTTGAAAAAAAACACACTTTCAATTGTAATGCACAAAAACACAAAAAAAAAATATTGCCCAAATGTTTGATAAAATATAACAAATTATTTTACACCGAGTAAAGAGATACCAAACATGACATGCTTTAAAATTGAGCACGCCCGTGCAACGGCTACAAACTGCTTACATTTTTAATATCTATAGGTGACGCTTTAAAAGCCTTTACAGGTTACCACTTTTGATTTACACAGGAAGTGTATTGCTAGAATTACTGCCCTCAATCTTCCATTCAGGGTGATACCTAACATGCATGATGCTATCACTGTTTACATATCAACATGGGATGAATGCTTGCGTTCGCCTTTGCGTTTGAGCATGGGGGGGGATGTGGGGGCCATGCTGATGTCTTTTTTAATTATTTTGCATTTTATTTTAATCACTTTTATTTTATCACAGGGGATGTAAATATCCCCTGTGTAGCAATAGGAAGTGACAGGTACTCTTTTCTGTGAAATCTGGGGTCTGTTAGACTCTAGATCTCTCCTCCGCCCTTAAAGCATCTGATCACACCAAGAATGATGTGATCAAATGTTTTCCCAATTTAAAAATGGCGCTGGGGGGAAAAATGGCGCTGTTTAAATCCAGTGAAACCGAAATGATGAAATGCTCATTGCGTCCAGTTTCTTACACCATAGGGATGATTGGAGCCATTCTGGTCTCTAATCAGCTTTATGATCAGAACCACCGGCTGCATTTTTGGGTTCCCTGATGGGAGGGGGAACGTAAAAGCGATCAAGCAGCTAATTAGCCGCTAGGATTGCTTTTACATGAAAGCCGACTGCCAGCTAAAAAAAACTATACCAGGATAATGCCTGTGTCTGTCTTGAGCTATAACCACTCAAAGTCCAGTGATGCACCAGTATGTTGCTGGTCCTTGTTGGGCATATATGTAATGTTCTTTTTTTCATTATATTTTTTTTCGTGTTATTGCTGAAATGCAAGAAGTATAGTTATCTGCAGATAAACAAAAAATACAAATTTAACAATATGTTGCACTGTATCTTTGTATGATTGTGGTCTGGAGCAGTGTTGTTTATAAACACTGATTCAGAGATGGTTGATACATATGCAAATTGGATGCATTTTTGACTACATCCAATTCGCATGACATGTGAAAGAACATTGCTTTCTATTATGCCTGTTCACATATGTCCAGTGCAGTAGAAGTGTGAATTGAGAAAGAGTCCTGTCAGTTTTTTAAGCAGTGTGGTCTGGCTCGGGTGCAAATTCAGGCCTATTGACTTCTATGGGAATGCTTCTGAATCGCTTCTGATGTCATTCAGTTGTGAACAGGATAAAATCCTGACCTGATCCTGATATAAATCTGACCTGATCCTGATGTAAACTTGACTTGAAACACTGAACTTTGTCAATTAGCTGTGAAAATTGAGCTTCAGTTCGGCCTGCACATTTGTGAATACACACTTAGACTGCTTTCTTGATAGCTAGAGTTGCTGACTATATATGAATATACAGTAATGCTGGCTATGATTATTCACAGCTCACAATTAAGGTATACTGGGAGGGGGAGACCCAGAAGCAGGGCAAAGAGAATGGACATGCTACACACGCCCTATGTGATGCCTTTTTTTTGGGGGCGTGTGCAGCACGCCCAAGGTCTCCAACTAGTTAATGCTAATTTCCCCCCCTCCCTATTAATAAACACTTGAATTTTCTCTCAGTCCAGAACTATCCTGTCTTCCTTATCACACAGTGGGGGGCATTTGAGGAGGAAGCAGCGGGATTGGTTCAGCTGTACTATGTGTCTATGGACGCACACAGCCCTCTCAAGAGCATGCCTACACAGGTGCCTTCATAGCACATAGCTTGCACTCATAAGTAGAAGGGGCAGAGCGACTCCAGAAGAGAAAGTAAGGGACCACTCTGTGCAATACCATCGCATAGAACAGGTAACTATAACATCTTTTTTGTTTTAATGAAATAAATAGGCTTTACAATAACTTTAAAGAAATCATTTTTGTTGGTCCACAGATCAAATATGTCATCAATGCAAGCAATTTGTAGACCAGTTAGTTGGACCAGAGAAAAGCACCTGGAAAGCAATCAAGGATATTGATAATTTTCTTGCCAGTTACAGAGAACCAAACTACACTCAGCTGGTTTACAAATTTCTTTCAGCATACAAGAGCATGAAATGCAACATCACTGAAGAAGTATTTTCTGCATTCTCACTTGGCCTTCTTTACTGAACATCTAGATGCAGTCAGTGACGAACATGGTGAAAGATTTCACCAGGATATTGCTACAAAGAAAAAACATTGTTGGACAGTGCAGAGAGATGCATCGGAAACCGAGTACAAATGAAAATCAGCTATCCCTGTTGAACCCAAGCATTGTGTTGGAAAAATTATGCGATTAAATATATTATTGACTATAAAAGTGAATTTCATATTTCTCAAGATTCCTATGTGATACTGTCAGGGCTCCAGGGTATGACCAGAGGTATGTGACTGACGCAGGGAAACGCAGGCTTCAGATAAGTTATAAACAATATAATTTATTAAGGACTAACAATACGAACATAAACGCAGTGCAATACTAAAACATAACACAGTGCAAACGAACCAAACCAAACCACCCACAGATAACAAAACATACAATGCAAGTGTCGTCAGGCAGGCCGGATCATAAACAGGAGGTCAGAACGTATGGGGTAAAGCAGGAGAATGGTCAGACAAAGCCAGGGATCAGAGCAGGAGAATGGTCAGACAAAGCCAGGGATCAGAGCAGGAGAATGGTCAGACAAAGCCAGGGATCAGAGCAGGAGAATGGTCAGACAAAGCCAGGGATCAGAGCAGGGTCAGCAATGAATCAGACAGGAACAGGGTTGCAGGAACAGGATACAGGGCCCAGGAAAAACACACACCAAGGCAGAGTCTGCAGGTCTGGCCATCCCTTAAATACACCAGCATAAGCAGTTTCAGGTGTTTGGCTGGCTGCAAGGTTGAGTCTCTGATTGCTGGGAGCACCCGCTGGCCTTTTATGTTCATACATACCGGATTCTTCCCCTTTTATTTTTGATTTGTCTTTAGCCCTGGTACTGCAGCCCATAAGGCAGTTGAGTCCCACCATTGCTGGCCAGTCCATTCCTGACAGTACCCCCCCTCAAGGAGCGGCCTCAGGACGCTCCAAACAGTCCTAGCTGGGCAAAATGTTCCGGCCGGGTCTGGTAACTGGCGGGATATCAAAGACTGGCACACCGGGCAGGACTCCGGGCAGCGGCACACCGGGCAGGACTCCGGGCAGAGGCACATCGGTCAGCGGCACACCAGGCAGCGGCACACCGGGCAGCGGCACATCGGGGTGGACTCCGGGCAGCAGCACATCAGGCTGGACTTCGGGCAGAGGCACATCAGGCTGGACTCCGGGCAGAGGCACATCGGGCAGGACTCCGGGCAGAGGCACATCGGGCAGGACTCCGGGCAGAGGCACATCGGGCAGGACTCCGGGCAGAGGCACATCGGGCAGGACTCCGGGCAGAGGCACATCGGGCTGGACTCCGGGCAGAGGCACATCGGGCTGGACTCCGGGCAGAGGCACATCGGGCTGGACTCCGGGCAGAGGCACATCGGGCTGGACTCCGGGCAGAGGCACATCGGGCTTTTCTCCGGGCAGAGGCACATCGGGCTGGACTCCAGGCATCGGGTCACCAGGCATCAGGTCATTTGGCACAACAGCGGGCACCGCGTCATCTGGCAAGACAGTGGGCACCAAGTCACCAGGCACGACAGTGGGCTCTGAGTCAATTGGCACGACAGCAGGCACCGGGTCATCAGGTACCGGATTGTCTGGCTCGACAGCGGGCATCGGGTCACCAGGTATGACAGCGGGCACTGGGTCACCAGGCATCAGGTCATTTGGCTTGCCAGCGGGCACCACGTCACCTGGCAAGGCAGTGGGCACCAAGTCACCAGGCACGACAGTGGGCTCTGAGTCAATTGGCACGACAGCGGGCACCGGGTCATCAGGTACCGGATTGTCTGGCTCGACAGCGGGCATCGGGTCACCAGGTATGACAGCGGGCACTGGGTCACCAGGCATCAGGTCATTTGGCTTGCCAGCGGGCACCGCGTCATCTGGCAAGGCAGTGGGCACCGGGTCACCAGGCATTGGATCGTCTGGCTCGATAGCGGGCATCGGGTCAACTGGCCTAATAGAATCATCAGGCTGGATCAGTTCATCATGCTGGGTACAGGCATCAGGCTGGGTACAGGCATCAGGCTGGGTACAGGCATCAGGCTGAAGTGCGGGTGCCGAGGCACCAGGCTGAACCACGGAAGGCCGGTTCTCAGACGGCAGGCTGACCGGTTTGGATACTGGCAGGGTGGTACTGGTTGGAAAGAATTTTCGCTTTTTTCTGGTTTTAACTACTGGGGCACTGCAAGTAAACGCAGGTCTGCAAACGAATGGAGCAGCTGGAGACAGAGAAGAGCTGGAGGATGGAACAGGGGAGTGAACAGTTGCTACAGAGGACTTCTTTACAGGGTTAAAGGCAGGATAGGTGCAGCGAGTGGGAACAGGGTACTGACATGCGGTAGATAGCAGGGCAGGAGGAGCTGTTGGGAATGCAGGAATAGAGCTTTGAGGAAATAGATTAGAAGCAGGACTGGGTTTTTTGCAAGCTGACTGAGGCTGGGTGCAACAAGTCTGACCATGTCTGCAGTATGGGTTGAACAAAGCTCAGCTTACACAAAGCCTGTCTGGTCAATGACTGCACTGCGTTTATACAATCTCTTAGTATCTGTGGTGAACATGCAGAATAACGCTCCAGAAAGTAATCCACATCATCCTCTAATAACCATACCAGGGACTCTACCTGGTCGGCACTAAATGGCGGCAAAAATTCATCCCTGCATTCGGGGGTACCAGATGAAACCAACTCCGCACAAACCTGAATCAATGGCTGCACCTCAGAGAATTCTGTGCCCTGATCTACTAGAACATGAGCGAGCCGTATACATTCTAGCAGTTCATCCCGGGTATACTCCTTCAGAGTTTGATAAGCATATTCTCTGTCACCAAACACTAGCAGATATAAATACACAACCTCATCAAGATCCATCCTTCCGATCAACAAACCAAGATGGTTTCCCTGTGCAGCCACTTCTGGTCAGGATTGGCCTTGGTGTAATGTCAGGGCTCCAGGGTATGACCAGAGGTATGTGACTGACGCAGGGAAACGCAGGCTTCAGATAAGTTATAAACAATATAATTTATTAAGGACTAACAATACGAACATAAACGCAGTGCAATACTAAAACATAACACAGTGCAAACGAACCAAACCACCCACAGATAACAAAAAACATACAATGCAAGCATCGTCAGGCAGGCCGGATCATAAACAGGAGGTCAGAACGTATGGGGTAAAGCAGGAGAATGGTCAGACAAAGCCAGGGATCAGAGCAGGAGAATGGTCAGACAAAGCCAGGGATCAGAGCAGGAGAATGGTCAGACAAAGCCAGGGATCAGAGCAGGAGAATGGTCAGACAAAGCCAGGGATCAGAGCAGGAGAATGGTCAGACAAAGCCAGGGATCAGAGCAGGAGAATGGTCAGACAAAGCCAGGGATCAGAGCAGGGTCAGCAACGAATCAGACAGGAACAGGAACAGGAACAGGGTTGCAGGAACAGGATACAGGGCCCAGGAAAAACACACACCAAGGCAGAGTCTGCAGGTCTGGCCATCCCTTAAATAAACCAGCATAAGCAGTTTCAGGTGTTTGGCTGGCTGCAAGGTTGAGTCTCTGATTGCTGGGAGTACCCGTTGGCCAGCCCTGGTACTGCAGCCCATAAGGCAGTTGAGTCCCACCATTGCTGGCCAGTCCATTCCTGACAGATACAGTCATTCTGAAATTATAATTGTGTTCAGTTTCAAGGAGTCTAACATAATTACTAAAAGTTTTTCAGGTAGAAAAACATTTGAAATATATTTTTGTCCAAAGTATTTAGCTAAAAATCCTATCTTTTTTACTCTCTTCTTTACCTTTCTCTATAAGGTTCTTAAAGTCTTTATATTTTTCAGCTTTGAGTTTATGATCATTATAGAATTGAAGTTTGTCGATATAGCTTCAACAAAGTTTAAACTTCTATCATATCCTTCTAGCCCTGCCATTCTCATTATGTGGTCAGCATACAGGTTGAATAAGTATGGTGAGAGTATGTGGGCTTGACTAAGTCCTACACCAATCTGGAACTACTTGATCTGCATACAGTGGGGGAAATAATTATTTGATCCCCTGCAGATTTTGTAAGTTTGCCCACTTACAATGAACGGTCTATAATTTTTATCATAGGTGTATTTTAAATGATAGAGAAAAAATATCAACCAAAAATCCAGAAAGAAAATACATGATACAGATGATTTAAATTGAGTTGCAGTTCAGTGAGTAAAATAAGTATTTGATCCCCAAGCAAATCATGACTTAGTACTTGGTGGAGAACACCTTGTTGGCAAGCACAGAGGTAAGACAGTTCTTGTAGTTGGTTCAGTTTCAAGGAGTCTAACACAGGTTTGTACACATCCCAGGAGGGATTTTGGTCCATTCTTCCCATCCACATCTTCATGTTCTGGCTGAAGGAAGAAAATTTTCTTTCAAGATTTTATAATGCATGGCCCCGTCCACTGGCCCCTCAATGTGGCAAAGTCGGCCTGTACCTTTAGCAGAGAAACAGCCCCAAAGCATAATATTTCCACCTTTGTGCTTGACTGTAGGGATAGTGTTCGTAGGGTTATTCTATTCCCTTCATTTCTTTGTATGTGGGCAAGCTTACAAAATCTGCAGGGGATCACATAATTATTTTTCCACTGTAGATGTCCTTCATAAAGGACAAAGGGATGCTCAGGTATACCCATTTTCCTAAGGACATTCTAATATTGCAAATGGTAGCCACAATGGAAGGTTTTACTATAATCAGTAAAGCACATATTGACTTCCTTCTTGTATTCCTTGGCATTCTCAGTTATTCAGTGTGCATCTGTGTCTATTTCCTCTACCTGTCCTGAATTGAGCTTGTACATCTGGTATTTTTTTTTTCAACAAAATGCACAAATTAATAATTCTATGCACAAAATACTACTTAAATACTATTTACTGTGCCACAAATATCTACAAAAAGAAAATGCAGTGGTGCATTCCTACCCTGCGCCTGTATAAGGGCAATGTAAATACTGTCAGTGGTCTCTTATTCCAGCTTCACCTCTATAGAAATTTTAGTTAATTTCAGTACTGAAGGGCTTTCTAGGTATCCAGAGAATAAATATTCAGACCTAAGCATGAGAGCACAAGGGGCAACTAGTAAAAGTGTATTACACTGTATCATGCTGGCTATTGAGAAACATTCTGGAGAACATACAATCAGTCGGGAATGTTTCCTAAACCCGTCATACTGCGATGAAAGTGAGCTTCATGGACTGCTGCATCCAAACACCCCATTCCCCGGACACCTGCCTCCTCATTGGACACACTGTGTAAAGGTGTTCATTAGAGCATCTGCCAGCCAAGTTTTTACTAACTTCTTAATGGGATTTTAAGTGCAACCAAAAAGACACCATTAAAAGATATCAATTGTTCTTTATTAATTAATTAGATATTCTAATGTTTCGAGTTTCACCTGTATGTAAGATCCATTTGTAATCTTATAAGTGCAACAGTTTTGAGTAAATCTGTTTTTACAATGTACAGGCATATTTGAAATACTGTATGTAATCAAGATTTCTTTTAAGATCACAAAGAGGACAACAAAGTGTTGGCATGTTTAGACATGTGCATAGTGGTATCCCCAACTGTTCATATTCAAGTCTACAACCACAACACCTTGATTGTTGGTTTGTCAGCATGGGGTATCCAACATGTTTAAAACTTTTCTCACTACTCCAAACTGGTGGAACGCCTCTCACGAGAAATCAGGGAGCTGGGCAACCGGACGAACGATCTCAAGGATAAAATGGACGCTGAGGCCACGGTCAATGCCTGTGCGGCCTAAAGGAAGAATTGGCAGACGCGCTGCTCCGGCTTGAGGATTTCGAGAACTGCTCCTGCCTGCCGCAGAAACCTATGCTAACGGGGTATTCTGGAATCCATCACGGATCTCACCTCAACCACTACTGCCCTGTTTCAGGAGCTGACCCCCGCCATTTCCTTTGCCTGTCTTGAATTTGACTGCATACACTGTGCATTGGGTCCCAAAATGATGGGAGGGACCTCCAAAAGACATTATCATCAAATTCACCTATTACCGCACTAAGGAAACCATTCTCCTGGCGGCCAGGAACAGCCCAGACCTCAGCTTCCAGGGGCATCATTATCAGCTCTTCTCGGACCTTTCCCAGATCACTCTGCAGAAGCACTGCCAGTTGAAGTCCTTCACCACGGTCCTGGTAAACCGCAGAATCAAGTACCCATGAGACTTTCCATTCCTCCTCACCTTCGACTACCAAGGCCGTCGTCACTCCATTGCCACGCCGCATGAAGCCCACTCTCTCCTAGAATCCTTGCATCCTATCCTGCGGTAGGCACTGCGCACTCATCTGGATCTCCAGCAGGGCCGCCTCATCTGGGCCGCCTCTGGGAGAAGGCATCCAACCAAAAGAGGGCCCTTTCTCGACCCCCTCTACAATTGAGTCCAACCTGTTCTTCACCGGGATGAAGTTGTATCCAGGACTTCCTTCGTTGTGCTTCACCGCTGCATCCTTTCGACGGGACTGTGAGTTTGGTCTTCTAGGCAACCCAGATACTGATGATGTTATGTGATTGGGCCCTGCCCGGCCGGTACCCTTAAGGGTTCGGTCTGTGGGTGGGGGGTCCCACCTGGACTTGCAGTCTGTGACTTTTTGCCAATGTCGAATGTCATGGGTCTCGGCGAGTGGCTCGGTTCATGTGGGTGGAACGGGCCAATGACTCCCTCAGGCTCTAGGGGGGGCAGTTGGCTCAAGTGGGCCCTTGTTCACTGCTAGATGATGGCCATGCTGGGGCGCTGGGGTGGGAGACCATTCGGGCTGTGGTGTTGGGTTCCGTAGCGGCCTGTAGTCATCTCCCTGGAGGGGGCTTGGCCCCTAGCTTGGCTGGGCTTTTGGGAGGGGGTCCCCATTGGTAAGACCCATTTCCTGGGGACTCATATATTTACTAATGTGGGTATCTTAGTTCAACTTGTTTTTATTGAGATTTTTCATCGAAATTAACAAGATGGTTCACAGTTATACATACCTTATTCTAGACCAACCTTGGTCTAGAATAAGGACTGTTAATTTGATAATATGGTTACCACAAACATGTACACAGAGAACCATAGGTAAATTGGGGAGGGGAAGTGGAAGGGTGGGAAGGGAGAGGGGAACAAAGAGGGTGAGAATACCATATAAACTAATCCAGTCATTGGAACTAGGTTATACTCCAGATATTGAGACTATCAGTTTTGGACTGTACATCTAGTGTTACTTAACCATGAATCCCAGGATTTACGGAACTTGTAGTTGGGAGTATATGTGACTGAGAATCTTCTTTCCATGTCACATTGGTTATTTAGATCTTGGATCACCTTGGATAGGGACGGGGTTATTATAGATTTCCATAGACTGGTTATGTTGTTTTTTGCTGCGTATAGTGTATGGATAATTACTACCCGAGTATCTGAGGGGAATTTATCCAGACCAATGTGGAATAAAGCTAACGCTGGATCTGGTTTAACTGTATTGGCTACTATTTCAGAAATCACTTTGAAAGTATTATTCCAGAAGGATATGAGTGACTTACATGTCCATATTGTGTGGTAAAGGGAGCCTATCTCTCCCCACTGTCTCCAACACAGTGGAGAATGAGTAGGGTACATTTTAGAAAGATGTAATGGTGTCAAATACCAGCGGTGGACTAGTTTTAGGTATGATTCCCAGTGTGATGCACAGTGAGACACTTTATATGTCCCTTTGAAGGCTGTATACCACTGCTTCTCTGAAGTGGGGTGAGGCAAGTGGAATTCCCAGTTATGTAGGGAAGCTGATTTCGAGCCTAGTAATCGATCTATCAGTAGTGCATAGAATGTTGATATTCCTTTGCCTGGGTATTTGTTTTTTTCCA